CTTAATAAATTTCAAGTGAGAGTAATATATTAAAATTTTCATTTTCACATCTGGTCAAGTTGTTCTCTGATTTCTCGTTTGTCAAGTTAATGTTTTCCTTTTTAAATATAAATAAGTCATTAAGATAATATATTTAAAACTGTAGAAGGCTTTCAATAATTTTTACTTTTTATTTATTTTTTTAGCCCAAAGGAGCAATTTGCCCAGAAGGGCTATTAATTCCGTTATGGCATTTTGCGTCGGTTCACTTTTCAAATTGTTGCCACCAAATATTAGAGCCCTGCATTGTATTTAGAGAAATTAAATAATGAAGAATCTGCATGAATGTAGGTGTGTTTCTCGCACTGTGAAAAAAACAAAGGTACCTAGAAGGTGAAAAAAACAAAGGTATCAGATTCTGAATAACGTAGTCCATACGAATATGGGTATCTGGAAGCCCAAATTTGGAATTTGTTTTATTATCTATTTCATACGGGGTTGCAAATTAAATAGTGGCAACTTAAACCTGAAACTCGCACAAGGGCAGGCATACGCAAATAGGATATGGGAACGGTGAGGTGGCGCTATTGTCGATGTGTAGAGTGCAAAAAACAGTCGATCTGCTTGGAAGGGTAGCAAATGGTGTTAAAGTGAGGTTTCGTTTCCATCGCTCTAAAGCATGTTTTCAAAAGCTGATCAGCGGTCGTGGCTTAAAATCGAGGTTGCCCGTGGCAAAAGTGCAACAGAATGCTATCGAGGATTAGTGGAAGCCTGTGGCACAAATGCTTTACCGTATAGGACAGTAGCACGATGGGTTCAAGCATTTCGTTCGGGTCGAAGTGAGACTGCGGATTTCCAACCCACAGGTCGGCCCTCCATTCCTCAAGAGCAGATTGACATCCTGAGCGGTCTCCTTACCATAGACCGCCGATGGACTGTCTGAGAATTATCCTTAGAGGTTGGTCTGAGTCATCAAACGGTGTGGCGCATAATGAAGAAATCTCTCAACATGAGGAAAATTGCTTCCCGCTGGGTTCCCCATCGACTAACCGAAGTACAGAAATGGCACCGGTATGCACTGGCTGGCACCCACTTGGAGAGATACCGCAATGAAGGAGTCGCATTTCTGCAGCTTATTGTCGCCATTGATGCGACATGGCACCAGCCTGTGAGCCTGAATTAAATCGTCAATCAAATGAATGGCGTCACCAAGGTTCGCCACGTCCACAGAAATTTCGACAGGAACCCAGTCGTGTGAAGGTTATGCTGATTATGGCATACGACTGGGACGGTGTGATTCTTACACATGCTGTACCTGAAGGGCAGACTGCTAACGCAAATTACTATTGCCGATTTCTACAGCACCATCTGCGTCCGGCTATGCGGCGCAAACGTGCACGTTTATTGCACTCCAATCTCCCTATCCTATTGCATGACAACGCTCGTTGCCATGTCGCAAACAATGTCACTCTCCTTTTGCGACGGTGGTAGTGGGAAATCCTGGAACACCCTCCCTACTCACCCGACATGAGTCCTGACTTCGATCTGTTTCCGAAGTTGAAGGAACCCCTCCGAGGTCACTAATTTCATGACGTTTCATCTGTACTCTACGCAGTAGGGCGCTCACATCAACAATCGAAATCAGCCTGTGTGCGGTCAAATTGTAAATTTGCAACCCCTTTTTTTCACGGGGGGAGCTGAAAAGGAGGGATAATCTTGCTCGAGATCCTGAGAAAATGTGGGGGGTCGTTTAAACATCTAACTTCTCTACATTCAGTTTTATACACAGGAAAATACAAATTGAATTCTTCGAATGAAGGCAATTTTGTACAATGAAAATTTATTATTGAACGATAAACTGTAAGGCAAACAACATCTTTTTTTTTAAAGCCATAGGAGTAGAAAGACAGATATTTATTACATCAATGAATTTGTTGTAAATATTCAGTCTTTCATTTCGAATACTATGTTACATGTATGCGAAGTACTGAGTATCTGAGAAAACAGTCATAACCCAAATGGCTTTCAACTTTTTCACGTCTAAGGACTGTTTTTCAATTACATTGTGATCGCCTTTTAGTTAATTTTCTAATGACATATAAGCAATAATTGTTTTTATTTCAGACTTACGAATAAAATAACACAAGCTGGACTGCAGAAAATTCTTCATAATGAAGTTGAAAAATACATTATTGATGCACTTTTGGGTTTTATATGTAGTAGTTAATATAGAATCCTTAAATTATATATATCTATGTATAAGTGTATATAAACGGAATATACGTATCTGAAGTTTAATTTTATTTGTTCTCCTTTTGGGTTACGACTCTAAGTGAGAAAGAATTGTTAGGACTTTCATAGGGATTAAATTATATACAATTAATTAAGATCCGACTTTCCTTCCTTTTAATAATCATATATATTTGTATACTATTTTAGAAGTATATATAAAATATAGCAGTTTGTTAAGCTACATATTTATATATCTATTGTTTGGTCTGGTTTTTTTTATTACAGCAAAGCAATCGACGGCTGTTTTCCTAAGGGTAAGGATGCCTCGTGGAGAACTTTCTAAGCAAAAACTGACGCGTAAGCACGTTACACATGGGGAAAACCACGAAAACGCCAATGCAGCCATCCCGTTCACCGTGATTCGAACCCCGAATCGGCCTACCAGGGTTCAACGACTTTACCGCTCAGCCGCTAGTGAGCTACACACACACCCACACATATACATTAAATCATATTTACATGTCGTTTATAAAGTATAATTGAGTGCAATTTAATCATAAAGAGTTAGAAAATATTCTACAGTATTACTTCGCTTCGTAGACTTTTTGTAAGCTTCACCATATTTCTTAAAGAGAATCTCAATGCTAGTTCCATTTCCAAGCCGTTTATGTACCTTATTTTTTATGCTTTGAATTATATTTAAAGAATTATTTTACCTGATTATAGCTGAAAATGCAGTTTTTTTAGTGAAGAATTTAAGAAGAGAATTAAGTCCTTTTCTAATTATTCTTGAAGCATTTAAATTTTAAAAAAGGCACATTAATAGAGATCACTGAACTAAGGTGCTCGATAGAGGACAGATTAATTAGCTACTAAATTTTGATTTTCATTGAGTAAAAATGAATTTCATCTGCATTCTATAAAAAAGCAAATATTCAAAAAATGTTTTTTTTTTTTTTATATTCTCGCAGTCATAATATTTTCTTAAATATTCAGCTAATTCATATTCAAATATTCTAATACATTATAATTGGTAATAAATTGATATAGTAAATAAATAATTAATATAAATTAAATGGAATTTTAACTTCAAAACTTTTCGCATCCTATATAATTTGTTTCCATTCTAGTACCATGTACATTCTTGTATACATTACTGACTTACAGTGAAGAATAGAGAACGCTGTAGAATACTGAATGAGACCTAAAATCACTTTTCTTTTACAATATATCTCCCCTTATGATCCCTAACGCACCTGCTTATTTTTCCCTTCGCAATTAACGTCAAAGTCCGCCTCTTGACCGCATTCAAGACGCCACCCAAAAATCAACACCTTGCCAATGGTCTACAACGGCTTCTCGACATTTGGCAAAAGCTTTGCTGGTGATTATTTAGAAGGAATTTAATGCAATTGTACTTGTAGGTTCATTAAAAATTGATTTATACCTATGTTCCATTAGTTAATTTACAGCCCTCGTATTTTGTCAAACATTAAAGAATTGTTGATTAACCCTTTGCGGCACAGTGTGTCCGGTCTGGACACACCTAAAAATTTCGTTCTGTACGCACAGAAAAATTGAATGGAAAAGGATTTATAGGTTACTCTGAACCTTCTTTATTTATAGTTAGATGGCAGCTCAACACAAACCAGTCCATATATTTTAGCCATGTTTAGTTTTTTAAGACCCTCATTTTTCAAAGAAATCTTCCTGATTTTTTTAGGGTATAAAAGGAATTGTTTGAAAAGAAATTTCTATGTTATTTTTTTGGCTGTATGCTAATCTTCTTATTCTATATTAGTTTTAAATTTTTTACCTTGAAATCTTGCCTAAAATGAAACGGCGAATCCTGGATGTGCACAGAACGGGCTCACCGATAATCTAGGGCAACTGAGAGTCTGCATTCTTTGTTTCTCCGCATCTCATCGGTTCATTCATTGACAACAATGCTCGTTTGAGCACTTTTTTCGAAGCTCTATTCAATCAGAGTGTTACTTTAGGCACACCCACAGAATTAAAACGATAAGTGCTATCTTCGCAAAATTTTAGTGTACTTCTCTAGGCCTAAACAAACTGCCTACTTTTTTTTTTTTTTTTTTTTTTTTTTTTTAATCAAAACTCCGACTTTAAAAGGTAGCGTGCCCGAAAGGGTTAACAAGCTCAGCGATTTCAAAGCGAGCAATGACAACACTGTACGGCGGGGGGAGGAACATTTTTATCCTCAGCACGCGAGACTGTATATCGGAAATTCTAAAGATATGCTCTGTCAAATATTTTGTGATATTGATGTTGAATTGAATTTTATGATTTAAGGGCGAAAAACATGATATTTAATAAGTAAAGGTAGCACACAAAACGTTAAAAAACGCCCCTCTCGGCGTAATATAAAGCCTAATTTTTTTTTTTTTTTTTTTTTTTTTTTTTTTTTTTGTGTGTGTGTGTGTGTGTGTGAATTTTAGTTTAAAAGGCTACTTTCTATTGAACACTTTAGAAATTACCTCTAATTTTGTTTGCTGTTGATTAGATCATCATATGCATTATTTGTGTGCTAGACATTCTGTTTCTGTTTTCAAGGTAATTTGCTGAAAAAATTTGTTTTTTAATTACAATCAAAATATGTGGTAAATCTAGTAAGAGGCTTTTAAAATCTTGCAGCAAATTAATTATTTAATGAATAAGCCTCAATTTTTTTTTCCCCTTTAATACCCGACCATTTCATGTCACTAAAGAGAATCAAAACTTTATCATTCAATTATACATGGCTTACATACTCTTTCTCTTTTTATCAGCTACCCAGATTGTGTTATCAATCAGCAGCTCTGCAGACGCGTGCCTGCTAAGTCTGATATAGTACTGCGTCCAACTCTAAAACTGGCTGGTTTACCTTCAGAAGTGCTTCCGAAAGTGATTAACGCTTCTAAATGGAGAAAGAGGTATAGATACTATTCATATATGATACTTTTTAGTTCTTTCCTTTCTGTTTGCTGTTTTTGAAATTGCTGATTGTTGGGCTTGTTTTATTAAGAAGCAATAACTAGGAGTCAGAAAGTCGAAATTGTTTCTAAATGGTTCTTCTAAGCATGTAAGAAAGAATACGAAACAGCGATTATTTTTGGTCAGAAACAGTCCTTATTTTCCTTTTTATCATTAATTGCCTCGGATTTTTCATTTTGAGCAATGCATTTAATGAAGCTTTGCCTTGAATATCTTGCGCTAATTAATATAAAAACACTAAATCAACAGATCTGCCAAAAAGTCTCTTTCTATCTATATATATGAAATGAATTTTCATCTTCTTAAAATTGATCGCAATAAGCGCATTTTATTTCAGTTAATTTTTTTCATGTATATCAATAAACCGAATATTTCTGTGATCTTCTCCTAAACTGTTGTTAACGAGTAGCAGGTAATTTGAAAATTGGCGTTTCAGAAGCTAAAACCAATGTGCTGCTCAAAGGTCTGAAGGAACACGAAAAGCAAAATAGCAAATAACCTTAAAGTTTCTCATCAAGATTCTTATGATTATTGATTTTACAAGATTCTTTATGGCTTAAATTGACTAATGTTCTTTATTTGGATTTGGATTAGTTGTGACTTATAGTTTGAATCTAGCAAATAATTTGATGCTTACTTGGAAGTAAGATGAAACACTATCTTACTTTAGTTGTTAATTGATGGTAGATTGGTTTATCCTCATGATAAGTCGATTAATCTGCGATCAATGACAATAGCTGCTTATTCAATATTTAAAATTTACTTTTGGTTTTGGATTTTTGCGATTAAAGACTTTTGTTAGCCGATTTATTAACAAGAAGTTATATTACTATTTAAAATGCTATTTACATTCTAAAATTTTTTTTTTCTTTCCTGGTTTTAAATTAAATTTGTGTTCCTTGGAGATGGTATATGGAAAGATTTCTCATTATAAATAATAATTATTATTATTATTATATATGCCAGGTTTCATATTCGATGCAGTATTTTATGCATTTGCTTCTTCGATGTTTTCGAATGCGACATTTCAGGCTGATCAGTCAGAACTTTGACAGTCAGTTATATCTGTATGAAAGATCACATGTTTGTTAATGATGCCCTAAAAGCAAAACTAACCGTTACTTTCATGTTTTGTTGCAAAGTGTGTGTTTATCTTGTCAGGTAAGGGCCCTGAACTTATAACCTTTGAAACCGTGGGCAGATGACCCTGAGTATACCGCGAAGAAGCCACCTAGGAATAGAGAACTCATTGATCTGCATATACATAAAGATTTCGCGATTTTTACTGTTTATTTTTTATTAAAAAAAAAGGGTGTCCTTTTGACGCTGATTGATGAATCAGTGCAAAACAATTTGCTGGATGTACGTATTCTTGCTGTTGAATTTGCTCTGTAGTTACTGTTAAGGCGGTAATGCTTTAGATGCCTTTTTTGTAGTATTGAAGTATTGACGTAATCTGTATATCTGTCTGTGTATGAATTATGTAAATAAGTATATGTAAAACTTTGTATAAAATTTCTTTCTTATCGCTTAAAAAAGAATCATATTTTTGCAGCTGTCTGTTAATAATTGGGTTTGTATGCGTGTGCAAAAGCTCTGTAAGTTTATTTTTGCTCAGGTCTCCAAACTATTGAATATAATATGCATTTAACCTTTAATTCTGTTTTTCTGGATCACTTTTTCATTCCGCGAATGCTGCTAATGTTATTACTTTGAATTTACTCTCTAATAGTCATTAAGCTTCGCTTTCTGGTTGCTATGATTAGGACTTATAATTCAGCCGGAAACGCCTTCAGTACTTTAAGTTTGTTATTTTTTATTATCTTTTTTATTTTATTAAATTTAATTATTGTTTAATATATTAACTCTCCTGTCTTCTCTGACGTCTTTTCATAGGGCTGCAGTAGTTTTAATTACAGGAATTAATTTCTGGCCATAGCCAACGTTATGTAAACAAAAATGTGTACATGACTCGAAGATCCTGTCTGTGTAAATAATTAAATATGTTCAGACTGTCGTTAGCAAGGCCCAGCGATAACTAATATGCTTACGTGGATGTACAGGTTCCGCTGAAGTTAGATTCTTTCTGAGAATCGTTAAGTATAATCATATTAAATATAATTTGACGCAAACGTATACGACAAGCAATCCAGACTAAAAAGCGATAAGGGGCCGTTGCAAGTATCAAATGAGTGTTTTCAGAAATATGTAGCATATAAACGATATGAAATTAAAAGAAATCATGTGATATTCCATAAAGAACTACGTGTGTCCAATTTCAGAGGTTTTCTTCTAGAATACTGTGAACATCAATAACAGCTCATTGACAAAATACCTCATAGAATGGCAAAAATTCGCTTAGGGCTGTTAAGTCACATACATCGCTCAATAAATGCAGATTCTTGAACAGTCATCTTCCGTGATTTCACAATCCAAATATGGTTAGTTACATGCAAAAATGCTGAATTATTAAAAGACTGCCATTAATTTTTAATATTCATATCTAGTTCGTATCTAAGCATCGGAACTTTTCTTGATGGATCTGCACAAAATCTTAAAACTAACGATAATACCCTAATTTCTCGGCTGCAAAAGCGGAGGTTTATAAAAGAAAATTGTCTAACCCAAGGATAAATTTAATGCAAAAGTTGCTGCATCAATGGTCTAAGTGTAACTGTTCATATGTACTATGGGTATGAGTTAAACTGTTCATATGTACTATGGGTAGGAGTTAATCATGCATTTTTGCTGAATAAATTTACCCTTTTTTTTTTTTTTTCCCAAAAAAATTTTTTGTTTTTTAACATATGTTTTTAGCGTACTTTGATTTATAGACCATTGTTAATTTAAATCATCGTATAGTGAATTTTTATAAAGCAGGACTTGGATACATTTGAATGTATATTTTGAAATTGTGTAAAAGTAGCAGAAATAATCAAATTAGTTCCGAAACGTCATTGAATCAAACTTCTAAATTCTGATTTTGTGAGTAATTACAGCCTACCTTACAGTAAATTTGAAAAATAAATGAGTATAAATATAGACCTAAAAATAAAGTTTATTTATCTATATAATTAATGTACTTACTTTTAAATGGTTTCTTTTTTATATGTTTCAGTGACAGATGAAACCTTATGGCTCGTCAAGGTGCAGTAAGCGTGGAGGAAATGATCAGAAGAAAAGTGGCTAACAGCCGACATTGGAAGTTCACTAAATTAGGCAAAAAACAGCGAAGATGGGGTTTTGATTTCACCGTTATGACTTATAATATACTTAGTCAAAATGCTGTCGAAAATCACCGCTATTTGTATAAGTATTGCAATCCTTCGTTCTTAGATGAAGAATATAGGATTTCAAAGATTATGCCTGAAATACTCAAAAGCCAGAGTGACGTGATTTGTCTACAGGAAGTGGAAGAAGCGCTTTACGATAAACGAATCAAAAAAGTCTTCGATTCCAATGGATTCGAGTCTCTTTTCAAAAGGAGGACTGGTTCGAAGAGTGATGGTTGTGCAATTCTTTGGAGACGATCGAAATTCAACCTGCTGAGGCATCGAGATGTCGAATTTCGAGCGAAAGAATGCAAATTCTTGGATCGAGATAACATAGGTTTGATTGCTGTTCTTAAACCTATTCATCCAGCGAGTAAAAAGAAGGTACAATTACATATAGCCACTACTCATCTCTTATTCAATCCTAGAAGAGGTGACATCAAACTTTGCCAATTGCGTCTTTTTCTCGCAGAGTTGGAAAAAATGGCTTTAAGGAAAGTAACGGAACAGGGTCGTCTTTATCACCCTGTCATACTTTGTGGGGATTTCAATTTTGAACCTCGTTCCCCTTTGTATCAATTCGTTGAAAATGGATGTTTACATTTAATAGATATGAAGTCGGGTGACATGTCGGGGCAAGCCGAAGGAAAAAATAAAGGACAGTATGTAAATAGCGAAAGCTTATCTTTACATGAACTTGGTATTAGTGAAACTGGACGTTTTGAAGCTATAGTACCGCCTGGAGGAGATGAGTGTAATTTACTCGCAAAGCCCAAGGAAACAAAGCTTTTATCACCAGAGGCGAGTGCTAGTGGATCAGGTAGACAGAACTCGAACAATACTCCATCTTATACCAAAGAGTCAGGTAGGAATGCAGTTAGTGTTAGTGCCGAATGGTTAGAAGCAGTAGGTGCATATAAGGACCCTCGGTGGTTGTCCGCTTTAGGAGCTCTGGGGAATGCGCATTTGGTAAATCAAATAGCATCTCAAATCCAGCAAGCTCATAAATCTTCTAATAGTCACAGTCGGCATTCGTCCCCCATGAGTTTAGACTCTAATAAATCCTCTGGTTCTTCTAGACAAGCATCTCGCGAGGGCACTCCTCAAAGATCTTTACCTCCAGCAGATGCCTCTAACTCTAATCCGGAAGACCTTGAACGTATTGTTCGGCACGGTTTTAATTTCGTGCCCGCATATAAATATCGTGAAGAGCAAAAAAACATCCCAGTTACCTCCATGACAGGGCATGATTTTAGTACAGTTGATCACATATTTTACCACGTGAAAGAGAAACTAGGACCTAGAAATTTTACCGAAGATCGATTGAAATTGTTGGCCTTTTACTCATTAATGCAATCAGAAGAATTAGAAGGACTTGGAGGATTGCCCAATGCTTATCTTGGATCGGATCATGTTTGTTTGATGGCAAAATTCGTAATAAACTTTAAATGAATTAATTGAAGAACTGAAAAGCTCTATTTTCAGCCTGTTTACATATGGTTTTATGTTATAGAATTTTTAGCACATGAATGTGTTTCCGTTTTGTGTTAGTAAAAATGAAAAAGGCCAAAAGAACTCCAAACCTTCCAGTATTTGTTGCTGAATATGTTAGATTTTAAATTGTCGAATATTTTACATCACTTTAAGCGTTAAATCTGGTTTATTTTATTATTAATGATCGTAATCCTTCCTTTCTTCTTAATTTATAATTACTAGGATATTTTATTACCATTTTTGTACACATGTGATATATTTTGTGATAGGTTTTAAAATAGCCTTTAAAACGAAGATGTACGACGTTATGTAATATATATCAGCATTAGACTGATTTACATCTCCGTTGAATTCGTTTTCATTTGTGATTGCCATTAGTGAAAAACGAAACCATTTAGTAAAAGTATATCAGTTAATTACATTAAACAGAAACTTCTTGAGCTAATACGTTTACTTCTGTTGTCTGGAATTAATGCATTTTATTGACTCCGAATTTCGCCCTTTCACTCAATTTTTAGTTCCTTCATTTAATCTAGGAAATATTTTAATGATCATGCCTCTTCAGGTGTTTGAAGAGCAAAACTGTATAAAAATCCTCCGGATTTCTATCGCATTTAAATAAAGATTTACAAAAAATTTTAAGTTTTTTGGTATCAAAATATGAGTAAATACAAGTATAATGTGATTGATCCGGTTTAAGAAATAACTGTGAAAGTTATAGTAGTCAACAAATAAATAAATAATTGGAGATGAATTTCATGAAAATGGTTGTAATAAGAATTAAAGGAATTCTTAAAAATATTTAATCTCAAACATTTTTGTGGTAAAAAAGAATGTATACAGAATATCATTATAAACATTTTGAAATAAAAGGAAATACGTAAAGTGCCACGTAAATACGTAAAGTATAAGTAATTTTCCCACTCGGAAAAATGAGTGCGAAAATTAGTGTTTTCAAAGTTTTTAATTAATATTTCGGCTGATTAAAGTTGTACAAAGATGAGAATGGTCGAAATGGCTTCCCACAAATTTTTGGAATCAGGAATAATGTAATGTTTAATGTTTGGCAATCCTTCTTTTATTTCATTGTAAAACTTAGTAATTTTTTATCAACAAACTCTGCGATTTGAAAGCGAGCAGTGGCAACACTTCTCGAAATAAAGCAGTTTTTTTTTTTTTATTTTTTTTTTTTTAAATCTCCAGCGTGCGAGACGGTTGCGTCTGGGGAAAATGAGGACGAAAATTAGTATTTTAAGCGTTTTTATTTAATATTAATGATTTTAGCTACCTTTTTTTTTATTATTTTTTTAAAGGGAACGTCAACTTTTTCCAGGACCCAGAAGAGAATTGTAGAAGTTTGGTGACTGTAGTGACGGGAATTATTAGTGGACAAACAAGCACACAGATTTTCTTCTTTATATATATAAATTAACTACTTAAAACTAATCAATATGACCTTGTAAAAGAGAAAATATAAATTCATCACCCATCAAAGTAAAATATCAGCACGTGGCAAAACGAGGTCGTCTTGGAAAGATGATGAATAACTGAGTAACTTGTAACTACTTTTTAACTAATTTATGTCACGGCAAATTACAAGCTTGGTGAAAAATTCAACGCACAATCCGACGTTCTTACTAGGGGAAAAGTCTTACTAGTCTGTGCAAGTTAATCTGAATATGTCTATAATTAAAGCTAATTTCCATCAGCCCTTCAGACATTAAACCATGACATACAAGTAACAGGGAAGAGGAAGGCCAAAGCATCCTCACCCATGTTGTCCGCCGTCAAAGGAGATGGAAAATTCGACGAAAAATTAGCTCGACGAAAATTTAAGAACTCGATACGCGACTTCAATGACGATTAAGAAATCGAAGTTCAAATGTGAATGATTGAGTTCACACTACATATGGTAGGTAATAATATGGTCACAAAATTTAGATGGCAATTTCGCATGTAATATTGTATGACTTGGCTCTACTAGTCTCTCTTAATAAAGGCGAGCATTATTATCTCATAGCAGAAATGGATTTCTCGTTTCATTGGTGGGAGGACAAATTTAGTGGCCTAGTACTTCATTCTTGTGTCTGTTAGCATATTTTTTTCTTTTGAAGAGTATGTAATAAATATGGCTCCTTACTCAAGTTGTAAGTAACCATGACAGTACTTCCGCCCAAATGTACTTTTCGCAAATAATATAGTATGTCTTTCGTTCTTACTAGGGGAAAAGTCTTACTAATCTGTGCAAATTAAACTGACTATGTCTATAACTAAAACAAATTTCCATCAGACCTTCAGACATTAAACCATGACATTCTGAGTAATTACTGTTCGACCTAGATGTGACGGTCATATACACTAACTGAATCAAAAATGGTTAGCAAGAATGGAGCAGAGAGGGAAAAGAATCGAATGAGCAACGGGATCAGAAGCATCGACTCAACGCTAACTCCGTGAACTGATTTCTTTCAGTTGTAGTTTTGAGATTCTATAAAACGTATAAAAGTATTTTCAAAAAACTGGGAAATGATAAAAATTCAACAAAGTTTTAACCATGGGTGGATAAACATTCTTTTCTACCCTAAAATGGGAATCGAATTTTCCAAGTACGCTTCCATTAAGAGCTTTCTGGGTGAACGCTAACAACAACAATAATTTGGGCATTCCTTTTTCCGCCTAAATTAATGGTACTAAGAGTTCCTTCACCCCTCAAAACCAGGCACATGGTTTCAACCCCTGTCCTCGCACCTTGGAGAAATGGACGCGTCGCTTTTGAGACACCGGTTGTCGACTATAATTTGCTACCTGCCAGTCGCTTGGGCTGCCCGTCGCAGAGGGACATTACCCAGCGTGCCCGAGAACGCCACCCTGGGTTACTAGAGCCCTCAGCTCTGTACTAGGACTTGCCAGACCCCGGGCTGGCCAATAAGTGACCTTTCCGAAGCCTTTAGAACCACTAGGTTCATAATTTGTATACCCCCGTGGCCGAGACTGCCTAGGTGCAGATCCTTAGCTAGTAGCTTCGCAGAATTGTCTATGTCGACCTCCGGGGGATGGACGCTAAAAGAGCCGCCTCTCTTTTTTCGCCAATCAAGCTTTCGCTTGCTCAGTGAACCAGTTTGCGAACGAATAGCACATCTCTACGCAAAACAAGCTAAAACTGATAATATTGTTTCAATCGATATCAATCAATGCATGAACTAAGATTAGAAATTTTTAAATCGGTTAAATTCTAATTCACGCTTTGTCTGTTTCTATCTCTGAAAGTATGTATCAAATACGAGGCTGAACAATTAACCGAAAGTTTTCTAAATGACTTAATGCAGTGGTTCTCAACCACAGCGGGATTTCGTAGTTTCAGGGGGGATATAATTAGCCTTTTATTTACCTGTTAAATATTTAGTCTTAAGATACAATAACACGCCGAACATGTATTAAATTAGTATTTAGTTTTAGTTTACGAATTTAACAACTACTTATATTCTAGTATAAGGTACTTTTGTCTTTATCAATACTTTCTGTGCTTTTTCTTGTTTAATTTATAAAGCATATTAATTTTTTTTTTTTTTTTTTTTTTTTTTTTTTTTTTTTTTTTTTTTTACTACTAATTTCCAACAGAGTTCAGTCAAAAAACTGTTACTGATCTCCAACAGATTTCAGTCAGAAAATTGTTAAAAGTTACGCTGATATAAAAACTCAGTTCTACCATAAACTTAATATATCAAAATGCTTAATATCTAAACTTATTGACAGAACTGTAAATTCTGTCCTCTAATCAAGTGTCCTAATTTAATAATCTGTATGCCAGACTAATGCAAGATTTTTTGGGAGGGCTATGAATTTTACCTAATGTTTTTTCATTGTTATACTTTAAAAGAATGCACAAGTTATACACATACCTAATGTTATACATTTCAAGTGTGTAATGTTAAGTAATTCATAGCAAAGTAAACTGGTGGTATAACTTTAAATCATTTTGAATATTTTTGGATCAGTATAATGTAAAGCGTTCTGCTTTTGTAAATACTACCACTTGTACTGTGATTTTAATACTGATGGTCTCGTGACTCTTAGTACCATTAATTTATGAAGTTCTTTTCATGAAGGCATACTCGCCGTTCCTTTTCTCACCATGAGGCCAAGTCGTAGTTAATTTTATGTTGCCATCCAATTCTGTGCCGAAAATAATCGAAGATCTAATTAATCTCTTCCAGTTATAGCTCTTAGCTTTCTTTGCTATAATTAAAATGCTGTCAGCTATGTTGCAAAATTCTGTTTCTTCTAAATGTCTTTCTTAATACTCAGAATGAAAAAGGACACTAAAAAGCCAACTTTTTATACTTTTTTGCATATATTAATGATAGTGCCATTTTTCTAGATAGCACTTGTTGACTTAGATTTACGTTAAATGCAAACTTTGTGAAGTTCGAATTTTGCCCATTTCCCATTTAATCCCCATTTAATTTTTTTCAACTAGATTAGGTCTGATTTTATAGGTATGCGTTTAAAGGTCCAAAAGTCCGTTTGCGTCCAAAGTTTGGATAATTGAATGATTGTCCTTTTCCGCTGTAAACGTAGTTATTCAACATTCTCCAGTATAGGCTGTTTCAGAACTATTGTTCAGAAATGTGCATAGAGTCCCAACACGATAAAGGGCAACAAGTAAGTGGTCATTAAGTTACTTCTTGGTTCAGTGAATCGAAATGAAGCAAGGCGTAAAAGTACTGCAAAGAACACACTCAAATGTAAAATCAAGAATACGTTTTCACGTCTCAGTTTGATCAGGTTTATGAAAAAAACCATAAATGATGTTGGAATGCAGGTTTTTGTTCAAAATCAAATTCGAAAACCACATTAGCAAATCTACTTAAAGCAAAACGTTACAAAGAAAAATGAGTCCCTTTTTATTGCCGTGATGATAAACTAGCCTGTGCGCTTATTTAATGTAGAAATGTATAACGTCTAGGTAGATGTTTCAAACTAGATTTATGAATTTATGTTAGACTTTCAAAATCGCAATAACAACCTTGTATTTAGCGTAAAGTAACTCAGTGTTTTAATATACGTCACGCTAAATACAAGGTTGTTATTGCGATTTTGATTGTCGCATTGGCGTGTTTCTCTTGTATTTATGTTAGATTTGTCCGAAATTTTCTTGAAGTTATATACGTATTTTCTCTGATTCACTATGAATGAAAATATTTTTAAGATCTGTTTTTCCCTAAATGGCATTAATACTCATAGATTAATAAACCAGATTTGCTATGTTATAATAATTAAGAAGCTGTCGCCAATAAGAAATTAGGGCCTCGTAACACAAGCATTATCTTGTGTTTACGAAGCAAGTAAAATAATACATCTTGTATCATTATCAGTTTGTTACCATTAGGTTCCGTTATCTTCCTGATATAAGCTAATTATAGCAATGGCAAAGAAACATAATAAACAGTGGTATCTAAGAATTTAATCTAAAAGATTAGATTCTTGTTGGTAATTTTCATTAGCGTACCAGTAAATCCATTTGTTAGTGAATTTTAGTTTCTTTACTCTCATTATTTTTAACTATTAAATATTGCAGTGATTGGGCACTGCAGTATTTAATAGTTAAAAATAATGACAGTAAAGTGATTGTGATT